CCCCTCCCTCTTCATTCCTACAGAGCCCCTCCCTTCTCATTGTTTTCATTGGGTTCTGAATTGGGGTTTTCTCTTTGGCTTGGTTTGCATCTTTTGCAGAGAAAAGAACGGGTTTGCCAGGACAAGTCGGCTGGCCAGGTCTCCCAGCCCATTGCTTACACACATCTGACCCTCGGAATCCTCAGCTACTCTCAAATCACTCCAGTTCCCTGTTCAGCTCCTTGGAGCCTGAGCCCTGGGAAAGCTCTTCCCATCCCTCACCCCATTCTAAGCCCTCAAGCTCTTTGGGCTTCATCACCAGAGACAAATCTCCAAGTCTGATGGAGGAGGTCTGAGAGGTGGGCAGCATGCGGTCAAAGACTCAGGCGAGGGGGACTCAGAACAGCTAAGGCTGGGATCTGGCTGCTGCCAGAAGGGCCGGCCAGCCAGGGCCCTCTTCTGAAGCCCTGATCTGCACATGCACGTGTGCCCCACACACACACACACACAGTCACTGCACACACATGCCCTCTCCTCTTTCTGCCTCTGACCCTCCTCTCTCTTCTCTCCCCTCTACGTAGACACACATGCGTATCCCTCTCCTCTCTTATATCCATCCACCCTGCTGCCCATACCCCCCACCCCAGCACACGCAGTCTCCATCTCTCCCCTCACTTATTCAGCTCCTTACACACTTGCACACCTCTCACTCTGCTAAATCTCACCTGCCTCTTCCCCACCCAGCCCTGAGCCCTTTGAAGGACCCCCAGGATTTGCACCAGGATTCCTCCCTGGCTAGCGCTCCACGTGCGCCCATTTACCAAACATTTAATGAATCCCAGTTCCATGCCACAGATGGAGGGGTGGGCAAAAGAGGACACCACCACTGCCCCCCTCACCTACAGTTAGGTGGGGGAGGCAGGCATTGGTCAAATCACCCCTCAAACCCACTTGAAATTATAACTGCTGCAAGCTTCAGGATGAGCAGTGTTAACAAGGTGGGGAGAGGGGGAAGGGCATACGACGCCCAGGACAGCACATGCAAAGGTCCAGTGGCAGGACAGCATGCAGGGGTCAGGGTCTGCAAGTGAGGGGGTGTGGTTGGAGCAAAGAGCAGAGGAAGGCTGACCCATAGGAAGTAAAGAGGGCAGAAGGGGGCAGGCCCCTGGGGGCCTTGTGTGGGAGCCCGGGAGGATTTGGAACAGGGGAGGCGCCATCAGAAGTGTGATTAGATAAAATCACTGTGGCTGCAGGGCTGGGAGCGGTCTGTCAGGGTCTGGGCTGGAAGTGGGCACCAGGAATGTCAGCCCTAGGATGTGGAGGAGGCCAGCAGAGGACTACCCATCTGAGCAGGACCTCTCCAGGACCCAGGGATGGGTCACCTCTGGGCTGTGGGCAAGAGAGGTACCTGGAGGGATGAGTCTGGCTTGAACTGGGAGGTGGAGGTTAGAAGAAAGCCCAGGGTGGGGAAAAGCAAGAGTGTTTGAGATGCCTTTAAGGACACCCTGGAAGAAGTCAAGTAGGCAGGTGGTTATGGGATCTGGAGCTCAAAGGCCAGTTCTGGGCTGGAGGTAGCAGGATTTCCTACAAATGGCAGGATTTCTCTGGAGCCTTTGGGTGGGTGGTTCCCATGTCCTGAGTGCTTACACACCTGAGCACCGCCAGCCTTCAGGGCCTGTGCCCCACCCAGGCACCCTGGAACCTGGATGCACAGGGCAGGGCTGGTGGAGAGGACAGCTGCTCCTTGTGGCCTGTGGACGGAAAGATGGAAGCTAGAAAAAGGGAAGTTGCCGGAAGTTCTGTGAGCACTTGAAGGACTCGATGCAGACGTGGGAAGAGGTGTAGGGGTGGATGAGGGCAGACTAGCACCTTCCCCTGCCCCATCACCTGGACCTCTCTCATCTCCACCCCTACTACCCTGTGTGTCTCCCTTCTCCCTTGGTTCCAAGAAGGGCAGCATGCTCTCTGCACGCATCTCCCTGTGAGCCCCCCTTGCTTCTCCCGCATGGTGGCAGGCTCCCCTGCTCCCCCCTGAGCCCCCGAGGCTGCTTCCAGGGCCTGCCTGCGTCTGCATGCTGAGCCGAGTCCACGTGTATGTCCCACCCCAGGAAGGGATGGCTTGTACTCTGGGGATGGATGGGAGAAGGCTAGGGACACCTGGGCCATCAGCCTCATCCCCAGGTGGAGCTGGGTGGCTAGATAAGGCTGGGAGTCAGGTCAGTGGGGCACAGAATGTGACTCTCTCTTAGCCTAGCTGGGTTTGGGGGCTTATTCGAGGAGCTTGAGACATTGTCACAGCAATTGGGCCCACTGGGGTCAGGGTAGGATCTCCCAGTCCCCTCTCCCATCCTAGAGATGTGGGGGCCAGCTGATTTGTCCCAGAGAGTGCCCTAGACTTTGCCAGCATACCCAGAGGCATCTCGCCAGCCTCAGAAGTTCCTTGAGCCCCCATCACTGCCTTGGCTCCCAGGCGAGAGCTAGTGGGTACAGATCTGATAGCTGAGAAGCCCTGGGGAACCCGCCTTGTAAGATGCCCATATAATTCATCATCCAAACTTTTGAGACCAAACTTTTGGGGTGCTGTGACTGTCAGGGCAACCTGTATGGTCATCCCTGTGCCATTTGGGAGTGAGGGCTGGGCCAGTTTAAATCTTGCTCCACGCCTGTGTCGAGGTCTCCAAGTACCCTAGAGCAGAATCCAGTTAAGGCCTCCCTGCCTCCTGCCCACTGGGTGATTGAACAGCAGAGATCTCTGTGAACTCAAAATGCCTCTGGTGGCTAATAAGGGGCCATAAGCCGGGAAAGCAGTTGCTGCTTCTAGAACATGGGCCTTTGGCAAACTAGAGGACATATGGCCTACTTCAAGGCGGGCAGCCGCACCTGAGCCCCAACTCACTATTGCCAGGACGAAAGCAGGTTCAGGGTTGCCAGAAAGCCAGATTTGGGAGGGTGGGGGAGTCTGATTTTTAAACAGTGGCAACTATTTTTAATTTAAAAACTGCTCAGGCCCAACAAAATAACTTTGTCGACCAGATGACCAGATTTGGTCCATCTGTGACTTGTAGTGTCTTGTCCCCCACCAGTACCCTGAGACCCTAGATGGCGAGTCCCAGGACAGTTACATAATGACCAGGGCCCGGACCCACCATCTCTGGCTGGCTGCCTCCCACCTCCCCCATCCCCCTGCTGTTTGGCCCCAGGTTCTGGCTTGGGCGGGAGGAGGTAAAGGCAGTAACTAGACAGGGGTCTTTGAGCAGAGGCAGGGGCCACCCAGGGAGGTCCTGGGGGCAGGGACGGCCTACCTCCCCGCCCCCAGCACCGGCCCCTCGGTGGGCCTGGGCTGATGGCCAGCTCACCCACCCACGGGCGCTGCGTACTTCCTGCTTCCCGCAGGCCTGGTCCCGTGCTACTCCACCCAGCCCCAGAAGCTGAGAAGCCATCCCTGAGAGGGGGGAAAAGGGCCCCAAATGCATCTTCTCCGACTCAGCGGGCAGCGAGGACTCGCCCTGCAGCCGAACAGCCCCAGCTCCCTCCCGTCCTCCCCATGCCCGCTCGCCAAGGGGGTAAGAAAAGATGCTCTTCCACTTCTCCAATTGGCTCGAGTCCTCTTGGCCGTGGGGTGAGGTGAGGGCGGGCAGGAGCGGGTGGGCCGCTCGGCAGGGCAGGGCAGGGTGCCCAGTGAGTCCCACGACAGATGCATTTCTGGCCTAGAGCGGAACACGCCCTCGGAACCCGCACATGTCCACCAGGCCTGAGTGCGCTGGCTCCCCCACCCTGCCCTGGTGTTTGTGCATCGTTCGTGTGATGGATTCGGCAACTTGACCCGCTTGTGTCCTATCGTCTCAGTGCATTTGGTTGTTGGGAGAAACAAAAACCATCTCGATTTTTTTCCTGATTGGATGATTTGGATATATTTTCTTTTCCTTGTTCTTTTGTTATTTCTTCCCCACCCCACCCCCACCCCATTCCTTTCTCTTCCTGTTTCTTTCCTTTTCCCCTTTGCGGATGGGGCTGGCAGGGAGGGCTTATGCTTTTTG